GGTGCCGACTCCAAGCAATCCAGCAGGCGGGTGGCACGGACTGCGCGCTCATCCCGACGGGTGCGGGGCGCGGGAGCCCACCTTAACCCCCGCTGCGCCGGGCCAGGGCAGGGCGGTGCACCACCTCTGGCCACTGGTTTAACCATTTCTGGACTTAAAGAGCAAGCTCTTCGCAATTAAGAAGACAAAGTTACAGTGAGGTCTTAATAAGCCCTAGACATCTTAATAAGGGTCACAAACTAACTAGGAAGAGAAGAGCCTGCAGCATGCATATATGCACCTTTAAAATGGTCAAATTAATTCTATCAGCATTTAGAGTAGAGTGTTATAGGAGGATGCTTTAAATAGTCTCATTTTTATTCAACGTTACACTACCCCCTCTGCACTCCACCCACCCCTAAAAGCTCCTTAAAACCCCATAGACTAAACACAACCATTCTAAAGAGATTGTCCATGTAAAAATTAAATGTGGAAATTCCAAAAGCGTCTTGGTGGGTGCAATGAGCAAAATCCCATTAAAATGTTGGTCAAGTGCAACACTGCCTTTCTCAACCCCCACCCCCACCCCAGACACTGAGTATGCTGCCGGGTAAAAGGAAAACTGGCACGGGCCACTGCCTGGTTTCTAAGGAAGAGTCTCAGGGTTCTGGGTTCACACTCTGGCATACCTTATTTCATCTCCAAGAGGTGTGGCGTTTTTTACATCTTTGAAGCCCAAGGAAAGATTGGGTATGCCTCAGGTTCTGTGACTTCTCTGTCTGCTGCTGGTTCCTCTGTGCCTACATCATGTTTCTCCCTTCACCCTAGTTCTGATGGACCATGCCTAGTCCCTGTGCAGAGAACAGAGTGGATCGGTAGGAACAGTGAGGGCAACACCAATAGGCTCCCTTCTCAGGGACTTCCAGTCCTGAGCTTCCAATAATGACTTAAATTGATCCTGGGAATTGGGGGAAGGATAGGATGGTTTTGTTTGGTTCCTGTGGCCTTTCTATTGCATACAATTGGGGCACTATTTTTTAAAAGCAAGCTATGAAATAACTGGGGAAGGGGGAGGAGCTCTTCCTCATCTAACACTGACACCAAAACATGACTACAGAGCCAAGATTAACCACAGGGTTCTGGTATCAGGGGACCATTGACACTACTGAGCAATGCTGGCCGTTTCCATGTAGACAGCATGAAAGAATCCACAAGTACCCTTCTCCCACAATATCTGCCACATTGCTACACCAGAGGGAGGGGAGGTCAGAGGTCAGCTTTGTGATAGCCAAATTCAAAGGCCACAAAGGAAGATGAGCGAGCTTGTTTTTCTATTTTTATAGTTTCCCAAGCACTGCTGGGCCACGAAGTATTGAGCAACTTTACACTGGAGGTGTCAAAATGCTTGACATCAATTCATTACTAGGCCAATTCCCTACTGTCTCTTCGGGTGACTTTTTCTGATATTAAAGTCTCAGGGAACTCATCCACTATTTTTGAAACCAGGGAACCTTTTGACATACAGCACCAAAAATGCTTGTTGTTGACTTATGGCAATAACAAATGGCTCTTTTTTTCCCAAAGCCTACTTTGTCTCATTTTTTTTCAGTGGGAAAATATGAAAATCGTAAATTAAACTATTTCATTCAATTGAGCTGTTCGTGAGTACAGACAGCAGGCTTGAGCTTCTCTTTTTGCTGATTAATAGGCTTATGAGTTTAAGAATCTTTCCTGAAAGCCAGTGTGTCACTCCTAATAACCTATGCGCTATCCCTCCTCTGGTCCTATCACCACCCCACTTCCTAAGTGCCACACTTGGTGGAAACAAGTGCCAGACATGAGGAAGTAAAAGGAACTCACATTGGGCTTTGGAGTCATTTCCCTGCAGACCCAGGCCCTAGAATAGAGAGGCTGATTCCTTTCATGACAAATTCTAGTTCAGTCTCCTGCATCTAATTCCAGGTGGGTACAAATGAGCATTTAGGTTTTGCATCTAGGATTGGAGATAATGACAACCAACAGCCTGTCCCAAGGGTCCTACATACATGATTAACTCTACAGGAAAATACTTAGAAAACCATTTAAGATGGAAGAGGCTTTATTAATACATTTTTCCTGCTACTGCTTCGTTATTATGGCTAGACAGAAAAGTAATCCTCCAAGGCTCCTTGAGACACAGTCTATATTGGCCTGAATGCACTTCATCTCAGACTGGCAGAACATCTCTCTCTGACCCTGAGGAGGAATGCTGACCTGTGGCACCCTGGTGGCTCCCCACAGAAAGCCCATCAGCACTCAGGTAACCCTCATGGAGAACAAAGAAAAGCCACTCATAATCTCTGCTTGGAGGACCCAGGAATCCAAATTCTATTCACAAATAAAAGTCAAGCAAGTGGCCAAAGGTCAGAGATACCCGCACAATTAACAAGACAGGTCGGCTTCATTCAAACCTGCTATTGAAGTGCTTTAAAAAGATGAAGATCAAAATCACATGTCAATTGCCTTCCCATCCCCTAATCCCTAAATATAACCAGCACTTAGTGGCTTATCTTATATCCTGTCTCTGGCTTCATAAAAACTGCTGGATTTATTTTATTTTTCCCAGCATATCTGAGTTAATGAAAAAGGGATGACAGTCAGAGCAATTTCATTATTTGTGTTCTTTATAGAAACAACTTCCTCTCTGCCTCCTGGAAAGCAGACTCCTAACGAGTGCCACCTCCACCTTCTCCTCCTCCCATCCCCCTCTCCTTCCTCCCATCTTTCTCACACACATACATATACTGTACACATAAATCAACTTGTCACAGCTTGTCTCGGCACTGACAGCTGTAATTGCTTCAGGTTATAAAAATATCTTTAGGACAATACCTTTCAAGCTCTCTCTCTCTCTCTCTCTCTCTCTCTCTCTCTCTCTCTCACACCCACACACACACACACACACACACACACACACACACACACACACACCCTGAAGCAGAGAGGAGTGTATGGTGTCTTATACCTGCACCTGTACACTGAACTAGGGTTTGAACAAGAAGTCCTGATTGACAGGTACCCAGCTGGGATTTTGTTTTGTTTTACTCTATGTTACCTACAGCAAGGCTAGAGTGAGCTAAAGAGCTCTGGCTCTTCCAATATTCAAGAGACAGAGGAAGAGCAGTAGCTTAAGAAATGCCAGCTCAATTTCTCTACAAAGGCGAAAGGCCCCCCTCTCCTGGTAGAGATTTCAAATAGAAGCACAGGCGAGATGAAAAATGCAGGGCAGTTAGTGAGTGGTGTGACATCAAATAGATATTGGAAGATTTAATCAGAAAGAGCAGTGTAAATCTGGATAAAGAGGTGCCTCCAGGGGTGTAGGGAAGGGCTGGGCTTTGGAAAAATACATGCTATTTTTGCTTCTCTATGAATACAAGATCACAATAAAAATCACTGCTAATCTGGACTACAGTCCAGTTTGTTAGGATTTCAGTGGGAAGAGCAACAGGGCAACATGAAGAAGGGAAGAGGGCTGCACAAAAGAAAAAATAAAAAGGTCAGAAAAAGAGAGATCCCAGAAGAAGGAGATGAAGAAAAGGCAGGGGCATGGCTGCCTGTCCATGGGCTTTGAAACCCACAGAACTTTATAAGGGATACACAAAGCAAAGAGATTGTAAGGGAAAAAGCTATGGAGGGCAACTGAATGAGCTAAAATCAAAGTGTCAAGAATACAAAGGGTAGGTTCCAGAGAGCACGTCCCAAGAGTTAGAGAAGTTGGGGCAAAATTGTCTCTTGTGTAAGATTTAGGTCATAGTAAAGCCTCAGACCCATAGAGTCACAGAATGATGTGTCAGAAAGGGTGTGGGAAGATATGCAATACATCCCTTTCACTTCAGGAAGGAAGGATTGATCCCCAGTAGGTCACATTAGGTAGATTGCTAATAATGAGCAAAGCAGGGCAAGAACTCAGGACTTCTGACAGCTGGTCCAGTCGTATTCCCATTATTCCACAACTATGGACACCGTTGACAGATGAGTAGCAAACACTGGCTTTTAATGCTTCATCTGGGGCCATACAGACAACCACGGAGGGAGCCACACACTGCTCATTATATCTCTGGGCGTCCAATGATTTCACTGAATCTGATGCAATCAGTGAACCAGCATGTGTAGGGACTGGGTTGAGAACT